TCCGCTAGTCCCTGCCAAAAGATATCAAGACATACAATGTATCATGTAGGACACATACATACCTTCATACACACGTCCACACATACATACATATATGAAACACATACACATGTGTGCATACACCCCTCCAGGGGTAGCTCAGGGATCCTAGGCTGTTGACGACATGGAGCCCGCTCAGCGAATCTTTCGCGCTGGAGGAATGGTCTCTGGTCGCAAGTGGTAGAGATGTCAGGGTTTAGGAAACTGGACTCTGGTCGCAAGTTGCCTCGTGGTACCGCACTCTTGTGACACGCTCCCCCTACCCCCGACGGATAGTTGAACCACGGCCTGCGACTCAGACTTGGATACCATAGAACACCGTCAAAAATCTCCAAGCCCTTCTGAAGTCACATCCGTGAGAAGAATACGTAACCCCAAACCCCACGGAGCTTTCAGGGCTTCAAACCCACAGCGTTCCAACCTCCAAGGCTGCTGGGGTGACCGTCGCTGGCTGCAGCAGGCTCGGAGTCTATGTACATGGACCGTGGTGAAAATCGTGAGACTGTGGCACCCTGCGGGTATCTGCCAGGAAATCTGAGGAAGCCCTGAAACTAATAGAATTGACCTGATCTGACTAGACTCGAACAGACTGGATAGACTTCACAGACTCCGGGCACTCATCGCAGCACTTCTCGAGGCTGCGGCCTGAGAAGGAAGCTTTGAGGAAACCAGGGGAAGAGGGCTCAGGGTTGATTGTTGAGGGACTTCAGGGTTTGGGGCCTCAGGGTGAAGGCAGTTTAGGCTGCGAAACTTGAAACTACAGTGTTAAATGGCTTTTGCAGCACGAGTACACACCTTCCTTTGGTTCCCTGGGCTTCTTTGGCAACATCCTGGGGCCGCTCTTTATTCCCAGATCTACACACACAGGCAGACAAACAGGGAGCGACACACACAACACACAACACACAACACACCCTATGACGCTATATTGACTCGAAGCACGTAGACCGCTGTTCGCAGCAAAAACTCAATTCCGAGATCTTGCACACTGTCTGTCCGGCAGCTGTTGATGAACGATGCTCAAAAACAATCGCTGTATCACTTCTGCAGGGCATTATAAACGAATCTCACCCGAGACCCTAATCCCTCAATGAATTATGGATACTCCGGTTCTCCAGGGTCGGGGTACACCCTGACGCCACGGGACGCCTCGCAATGCCGCTGGAGCCTCAGTTCAAGGCGTGCTGCACTCATGATAGAAGGGCGTGCCTTTGTCCCGCAAGGCTTACGACTGTCAGTTTGAGAGTTTATGGTTCCGGGTTCAGGGTTCGGGGTGAAGTTACAGAATTTGAAGGTTTTGTTTCTCGTCTTTTTCCGCGGAGTCGGAGGAAAGACGAGTAGAAGAGAGGCGAATGGCGGGACGAGGACGGACAAGACAGCCGAAACTCAGCTGAAGACCTTCCACAATGTCACCTACCCTACACAATTCAGCATGCCTTCATGTTGAAATAAACCCCGAAACCTTAAACCTTAAACCTTAAAACTTAAAACCCTAAAACCTAAACCCGAGAGGTCCCGGGCTGAAGAGGTAGCTGCAGAAATTGCGCATTGTTGGCTTCGAAGGCCCAGCAGCTGAGCCCGGCACCCTGGCCAGGGTGCTTTTTTTTGTTGTGGTCCCTTTTTCCTCGTGCCCCGCGTCATTGGTCCCGGTGCGTACAGAGTGTTGCTTCTTTTGTTGCGCCCCGTTGGGCGCCACAACTGCTCGGCGGGGGCGGGAGCAAAAAACAAAACATCACCCAGGGATTTTTTTGCTGCGGCCCCGCCGAATGGTTGCGGCGTCCATGTGTTTTTCTTCCTGCGGCCCCGTCGCCCGGACGCACACTCTGGCCGGGGCGACCCGTCCGGTCGGGCCCGTGTGGTGTTTCTCTTTTTTGCTGCGTCCCCGCCGAACCCGGCGAGCCAATAACAAAAATGTCTGGTGTACGACATCGGGTCCAAAAAAACCCGGCGGCAACAGCAAAAAAACAAACAGAGGCCTCAAGACCCAAAATCCCTAGACGCCAAATCCAATAAACCCAGACCCCGAACCCTGGAGCGATAAACCCGAACACTGCCCAACTACAAACAGAAACTAGACAGAGCTCTTTCGAAGAAAGCCGACAGCTGCCACCAGGCAGCCGTGAAGTCGCCGCGCACGCGTCGCTGGCACCTGATCCACGTCTTAGGGCATTAGGGTTTTAGGGTTTAGGGTTTAGGCCTTACTAAAGTTTAGGGTTTAGGTCATGGTGTTTACTGGGGCTTTAGGGTTTCCAATCAGTTTTCATTGGTTTTCATCGGGTATTTAGGGCTTTGACACGTTTTGAACAGTTTACGACGGGCTTCGCAGGACGGTGGTTCACAAGAGTGTTTATGGAGGGGGTTTGAGAAGCAGAGGTTCATTCTCGTTTGGTCGGCAATCTCCCAGGAGGGGTTGAGGGTTTACGGTTGAGGGCTTAGGCTTCAGGGGCTAAGGGTGTAGGACAGCAGGAGACACCAAAACCACCTGCAACACGACGGCCAGGCAGCTCGACCCATTCCCTGAGCGCGAAACCCTCTCCGAAACCATAACTCTCAACCCCAAAAAGGCACTCAAAGGCAGAAATCTTCGAACCCTAAGTCTTCTTGGCTAGCCCTTAACGGCACCCTTGTAGATCCCTTTAAGGGACCCTTATCGATCCCTTCAAGGAGCCCTTAAAGGGCTCAAGGGACTGAAGGTCCGAGGCAAAGACGGTTTGCAAAGAGCCGTCCAAGAAGGAGACCTGTCTGGCCGAGCTCTAAAAGCCCCCCAAAACCCCAAAACCCTGTATGTGTGTGTGTGTATAAATATAGTTATACAGATATATATATATATATATATATATATATATGTTATACTATATTGTTATATTATCTATATATATATATATATAGATGGATATATGCAACCCTCATAACCCTCAAAACACTAATAAGCCTTGTAACCTTTGTAAAAGAAGCTCGAAACGAAGTCCTACTGTAAGTGTTCCTTCAAGGGCTTCATAAAGGTTCCGTAATGGGGATCCGGGTTCAGGGTCTACTTGGAGGATCTTGGCGCTTAGTATGTAAGGTTATAAGTAGGGGTGATAGGTAAGCATAGGTAATCATAGGTATATGTAGCTACCCTATTCCTAACTCCAGCGACTAAGTCCCATGATCCTTTCAGTACTCGGGTGTTTTTTAAGGTTTAGGGTCTTCGGTTTCTGGATTTGGGGTGTCTAAGGTTTAGACAACGTCACCCCCAGACTTATGGGCACTGGAGAAGTCAGAGCTCTAAGACTCTCGTAGCAGGAATTATCTCAAAACGATACTATATAGTTTAATATGAACAGAATAACAAAAGAAATTGCAACTTAATATAGGCCGAAGAAGTCTCTTTGCTGTAGATTTGTCATCGTCTCGTGCCGTGCATTTCTGTCGGACTAACATACGCATGGACACACTCGCACTCGCACTGTCTATGCATGAGTACAGCTGCACACAGAGAGAGACAGGGAAAGAGACGGTGAAACCCATCAAACATTCAGAATCGGAGGTCCCTTGAGAGGGCACGCAAATGCAAAGCAGTTTTTCCGTCGGTTCGTGCCCTTCGGTTGCAAACGGTTTAGGGTTTAGGCCGAAACCTCGTGGCCAACCCATGGGCCTGGATGCAGTTGGCCGTGGGGTCATACCTCACGAGTCTGCCGGACTGGCAGGACCTCGTGGCACGGTCAGTCACGCGGCATACAAGAAAATGTGGTAGCGTAGCAAGGCACATGGGATTTCGTGATCGTAGGAAAAACGTAGGAATGTAGTGAAGCACCATGACAAACTGAAAGTGTATCTGCCTTTGAGAAGTCCTCTGCCTCAGCACTGCAGGTGCCTCGCGGACTCCATGTAAGAATCCATCTTAATTCAACCTTTAACGAGGACATCTGAAGCAGGGGAGTTTATACCCTGAGCTGAGCGTCGGAGATTCCGGGATAATACAACGGCCTGAACAATTGGGATGAACAGGTCTTGGGGTATAGTATTACGCTACGGGGTTAGCATGCTATGGTTAGCATACGGAACCCTAAGGAATTTTATTGCTAACTACCCGAGCCCCTTCTATTCATCAAACTACAGCCTCCCCATCCGAGCAATACAGCCAAAGCAGGTTCAACCTTCACTAGGTGTCGATGCCAACAGTCCCCAAAATTGGCTATGATTGCAATTACAGCTGTATATGAACAGTAGGGCAATTAAAAAGTTATCCCAAATCGATACCAAGTTGAGTCATTGAAGTTTCCCTTCGAGGGCTTACGCCGGAAGGCTCAACCCCAGGGATCCTGAAGTGAGTTTCTCTAAATGAGGGTCCCGGTTTAGCTCCCAAAAATAGCACGGCATAGGACCCTAAGAGGGACCTTCATTTAGAGAACCACCCAAGTATCTGGAGACCGCCTTTGGGGGCTTTGGAACAGGCAAAGCTGTCGATGAACAAACCTTGTCAGTCTCCTGAAACCAAGCTTGGATGCTTGAGCTTTTCGTTCCAATCTCTAACTTGAGCAAACTCCATGCTTGCATGGAGGTCTTGTACTCACCAGAATTGAGCCTTCCCTGTGACACTGTGCGACTGAAGCAAAAGTTGAGCACCCTAGGGCCCCGAAGTCAGAGGTGCTCACGAACGTCTCTTTTCCCATCCCTTTTGTGCTTGTCTTTGACAGGCTGTACATCAGTTAGTTCGCATGCTCAGGACAGGTCAGGAGATTAGACTACTATGTACATCGGTCCAGGGCCCAACCGCATTCAGGAAAGATCCTGAGCCGCCGCAGTTCAACCGCTGAGCAACCCAGGTTAGGCTGCTGCAACGCACAACGATCTCCTCAATCGTGCTGTAATATAGGGGCCTTAATGAATAGGGTTTTGGGCCGGTTAAACAATAGTTATAGTAAGGAGCCCCCAAAATAGTATTCGTAATTATTTAACATGTAGGCCCCTATATTACATCATTCTTTTGCCGGCGACCGCCGTTTTGGGGTCGCATCCTCCGACTCCAGTAGAGTCTTGAGGCTTTCCTCAGCACGAACAGTATCTGGATGCTTGGGCGTCAAAGCCTCCCGTCTTCCTTCAAGCACCTGACGTCGGTGCTTGAGCGCTTCACTATGCCTCCCCAACTCCTGCAAAGTTGCAGCTACACAAGACTGCGCACGAAGGGTATCAGGATGCCGTTCTCCCAGGAGCTTACTTCTCTCAGTAAAGACTTCTTCTCGCAGATCCAAGGCTTCATCGTGTCGAGCCAGTTTTCCCAGGGACCAGGCCAGGTTCGCTTGAGCGTTCAACGTGTCCTCATGCTGCTGGCCCAATGTGTCCTTGCGAATGTTCAGTATCTTTGTCTGTGAATTAATGGCTGAATCATACCTTTTCAGCCTCGTCAGATTCCAAGCACGAGCAGCTTCTGCATCGATAGTGTCCGGATCACGGGAACCAAACCTTTCATTCCTTGCATCCACGACCTGGTTCAGCAGATCCAAAGCCTCCTCATGCTCGCCAACAGCGCCCAAACTCCAGGCAACATTCGCCTGTGCAGTGACAATGTCTGGATGACCTGCATCGAGAAGCTCCTGGCTTGTTCGCAAAACCTTCCTGTGCACGGCCAATGCATCCTCATGCTTGCCGAGATCCCCCAAGCTCTTTGCCAAGTTCGTTTCAGCCCAAAGCCCCAGGGTGCTGCGCAGGCCCACCTTTTCAGCTACATACAGCAAAGTCCGGTAGAACTCGGCGGCTGCTTCGTAGGAATCGCCATATCGCCCTTCCTGCGCCAGCGCGAGGCTCCGCAGGCCAAAGCAGAGGACGATCTTCGCGCAGCTGATGGCAATGAATAAGGACTGTGCACTGGATCCCCCGTAAAGGGCGACAAACAGGGATTGCAGGCAGGCCTGAGGTAAGTCTTCAGTGATTGCGATGGCCAGTTTCGCAGGGGACGTCTGTGTTGTCAGAAATCCATATCTCTTTTGGTCACAGCAAGCGGCCTGCTCTGGCATGACAAACCGGGTCAGAGCTGCTGCATGGTACACTCGCATGTATGTGTTGGAGATGACCAGGATAGTCACGCCAACGAAAGCTAGCAGAAAGCTGGTCAAGGTCCTCTTCGTGAGAGCTAGCCCAATGAAAAGCCAGTCCTTGAGCGTGTCCAGGCGCTCACCGACAACCGGTAAAACAGATTCCACAGTGATTGCTGCAAAGTCAGGCACAGTGACTTCGCAGTTCATAGGCAAGCGAGCAGTCAGGCAGATGGCGTGCAACAAAGAACTACCAAGTACAACAAACAACCAGAGAAGATATACCTCCCAGCAAGCCCCTGCCCTTGCATCCAATCTTCCTGCCAATGCAAAGACCACCGCGGGAATGGCCCCAGAGAGGTGCAAAGCCAAGTGCTGATACCAAGGAACGCAAAGGGTTGAGCGATGTTGCTGCGAGTGAAGAAGATTTTGCACATCTGGATCGTCATCATGACGACATACACCCTGATACCGACCGGATTGGTCATTAGCTGAGTTGGCAAGTTGGTATCGACAAGCCTTTGCAAACCATGTCAGCAGCTTCAGAACGGCGAAGGCAGTCATCAACAAGCAAAGAATAGCTGAGCAGAAATAATCACGCCTCTGGATCTTTTCGTCAGTAGTCAGTTCATGCCCTGCGTGAACTGGGAACAGCTGAAGCGGAGGAGTCACGAAATGGACATAGCTGCAATCGGCTACCTGCGACCATCGAGCGGGGATGCGAATGGCCAGCTGGGGCATGTTGGACGATGGAACTAGCATTGCTGCCAGAACCGTTGCAAATAAAAGCGAACAGACTAAACAGATTCGGCACCAAGGGGTCCTGGACGGTAGAAGACTCATGTGCGCCAACGCGGCGATGAAAGAAATAATGTTGGCCACGATCAGTGCCAACAGGATCGCCAAACCAGAAGCGACAACGCTGATTACCGCCTTGCAAAGGATCTTCGCCGGAAGAATGGTCTTCCAGTGACCTGAGATTTTGACAATCATGCGAATGGCATGCTTCGCTATACATAACAAGGTTACACGGCTGAGGCAAGTTAAGCGACGTCGGCTTGGACACGTGGGCTGCTTCAGCAGATTGGGCAGAGTTGGAAGCCACGAAGCATTGCCACCTCAACAAGTTTGGGCACGCTGCACTGACACACAATACCGTATACCTTTATGAGGCCTCTACCGGCAGTATGAAGCGCTTGTTTCTTGCAGGTACTGACAGCTACGTCACACGAGCCGACCAACTTTTGTGCAAAAGCTGCTTCTCGAGGCATGTGGCCTTCAGTGCTCGAACGCAACTGGCGGCTCCCTTTCGGTGGACCTAACGGCTCAATGGGTTAGGGTTTACCTTAACCCCAAATAACCTACCTTTTTCAGGACTTATATAAAGAAATCATATTAAGGATCCCAAGAAGATAGGTTTTGGGGGGTTAAGGTAGGGCTTTGGGGGCCTATAGGAGCTTTCCCCAAGCTGGACAGTTCGGCACTTTTCTCAATTCGACCGGGTTGCTGGGCATTTGAGGCGTCGCCAGAGACCCAAGCAAGATGAAAAGCAGTCCGAGGCAGCAGCTGCTCGTGATCCAGATCCGGACCATGCTTGCAAACAGAGCGTCGTAATCCACGGCGAGCCGTCCAGCAGACGCCCCACTATGATGCTTAGTGTAGGAACTCTGGCTGCTTTTGCAATGTATGCCACATGTGCCCAAACAATGCAAAGACCATCCAGCGAGCCTCGAAAACAGCGAGCGAGCCCTACAAATGCGAGAGGTTCCTCAGCAGGCAAACAGCCTTCCCTTGAGGCTCAAACGACACCGTAGTCAAATCCTTATACCTCGATTGAGCCTGACCTCGGAACTCGGCACCCTAAACTCTAACTCCCTGGCCTAACCCTGAGCCCGAAGCGCCGCAAGAGCTCCGTGACCTTTTAAGGCCGCAGCCAGCGTGCAACTCGAGCGTCCGGGCCGGGCGGCAGGAGAACCTCTTCCACTCTACCACTTGACGGATCATGGGACTTAGGAACTGGGTTATAAATAAGGTAGCTATACATATAATTACTTGTAACCCCAACTAAGGTACTTATAACCTTTCTTACTAAGTCCACCCCCCCCCCCCTCCAAGCAGGCACGAGGGCTTCACCAGCTGCAGCGTGAAACATGAAATGCAGAAGTATGATATACAATAGATAACAGACAATAGATTTATATATGGTCAGGCGTCTGGCGTTCCCAGCCCCCCCCCCCCCCCCAATGGTATGGTCTGCTAGGGGTGGGGGGGGGGGGGGGGCTGGGGGGGGGGGGGGGGGCTGGTGGGATGGTGCTGGCGGCCAGGGCTCACACGCAAGCCCTTCGCAAGCAAGCCGTAAACCCTATAACGCAGCGCGTGCCCTTGTTTTGAGTAACCTTAAGTTGTACTTCCAACCCTACACCCAACCCTAAACCCCACCTAACTGCAGGCTCTAAGCCTAAAGCAGAACATACACCGCAAGTCCTCCCTAAGCTCTTGTCGACTCGAAGCGTTATACCTTGTAACCGTAAACCCAACACTCAAAAGCTTAAGCTAAACCCTAAACCCCAAAACCCCACAACCACCCCACAAGGGGGAAGAGGGACCCCACACCCCACACCACAGGGGAGGGGGGGTCCCACCCTATATCCGGACCATTGACCTTTGGGGGGGGAAGGGGGGGGGGCCGCGGAGCGCGTGACCATATATCTCTATATGCTGTACGAGCATAAGACGACTTAGCATGCAGGATGAGAAGTGTGCAGTGTCGTTGTTGCCGCCGCCATGATCACCACCTCCACTTCCACCAACAGGCAAGCTGAAACTACTCTCAAAGCCTAAACCGATACCCCTCCTAGCCTAAACCCTAAACCCTAAACCCTAAAGGTCACCCGCCTCCACTGCGCATCCGGCAGGCCAGGAACCCGGGCGCTGGGCCGCGGCGCCGAGGTTCAGCCGCAAAGCCTGAAGGACAAGAGCTTGGGGTGACGGGCTGAGGGGTAAGAACCATTGTACTATAATTATCAGGAACGACCTAATGGTATTGGTTTGCATGGCTTTGGGCTTTAGGGTTTCGGGCGCCGTAGTTCCAGGGCTAACATTTTAGAACGAATCCTTTTCCCTCGAATCTGCAGAAGCCGACTCTTCGATCCCAGTGCCCTAAACTCCTAAAAACCCTAAACTCCTACCTACTCTTCTTGACTCTCCTTAACTACTAAACTCCTGAACTCCTTAGCTCCCGAACCCTAATTTTCTGCGCCCATATTCCAAACCCTAAAACCGTTCAACCCATCTGAACCCGACACTTGCTAAGACAACCTCGCCTCCATGCAGTCGTTGCTTTTCTGGCGAGCCTGCAGATCAATGCTTTCGAGGAGTTGTCAGAAAAGAAAAGGCCTGGGCTATCCATGCGTCCGATAATTTGAACCTTTCGTGGATCCTTCGAGGTTTGTGCCGAGGAGGCTTGGCGCACTTGGGCCCAGAATCCTCGCCTTGGGCAGTACTAGTATAGGGAGATTGCCGCATTCGCGGGATCCTCGGTATCGAAACCTCCGGTGTAAGAACAGGGACAGGCTCATGGACCGCCCCGAATCGCAACCTCCCCACCCTCACGATCGCTCAAAGAAGGGCTACAACAAGGGATCGAACAGTCTTGAAGAGACGGGGGGATGGAGACGAATCAGGGGCTTTGGAGTCTTAAAGCGGGGTTGATTGAGACCTGGGGCTCTTTCTGGGAGATGAAAAAGGTGAATAAAGCCGCTATAAGCCCTATAAACCCGGGAGGCCTGTGGCACTGTTCGAGATTTAGTTTGTCGGAGTCTGTGTCTGTGACCTACTCGTTTAGGGCTGAAGGCTTTGCAGTCTGCGGTTTGGGCTTGCAACGACTTGTAGTGATGGACTCACAGCAAGACGTGGAGGTGTTGCTCTAGTTTGCGATCCCGTTCAAGGCCTATGACTCAAGTGCACGGTCATTGCCTGAAGGCGGACTGTAACATGGAACGCATGTTAAATCTTGCGCGCTTGGTTGGCTTCGTCCTTCCTCCCGGTGCTTGTTACAAACACCTGGCAAATCTGTACAAATCGGCGGAAGACATCTATCCGGCAGGAAGCTGCTGGGAAGTCTAGCCGTCTAGCCCATTTACCTGGAAAGCAAGGCCTCAGAGCATCTCAGAACTCAGCTGGTAACCGAACCCCACACCCCGAACCCTGCATCTACAATCCCGGCATCTAAACCCTACAACGCGAAACTCGAGACCTGGCGCCTTCAACTCAACGAGACTCTCGATTCTCGTGGAAGTCAGCGGTTATCGGGGCGTGAGGCATAGGCTTGAATTTAGAGTGTGTGTTCGGGGACTAAGGTTTCAGGGTCTTCGGGCTACCAGCGTTTCCCGGCAGACTTGCGGGACGGATGATGCCAACCCCACGGAGGACTTGACATCCCAAACCCCTTCACCTGAGGTTCGGGGAACGAAGGCATCGGCCGTGCCATGTCCATCCCAGTCTTCAACGTCGGAGCTATACACCACCCTAAACCCTAAACCCTAAGCTACAAGCCCGGAAGGATGGGGCGGAGCTTGGTGACGGTCCCTTCTTCTGAACCGCAGTGCATTGCCAAGCTGTTGAGGATCGCTTGCAAGTGATGTTAAGGCTAACTGCTAAGGTTTAGGAGACAAGGAGGGCTGGTACTGACACTGCTGTACATTACATTCACCTGTAGATTGTCTTCTCCACATCTGCCCGACAGTCTCCCACACTGGTCTGCAAAGCCTGCTCGGGGCTAGAGGTGTCTAATGCCAATCTTTGTCCATTTGTGTGTGTGTGTGTTCCGAGGCCCTCAATACAGTAGAGTAAGTTTTTCCGCATGACAAAGGTGCTGAACCCTAAACCCTAAACCCTAGACCCTAAACCCTAAACCCTAGACCCTAAACCCTAAACCCTAAACTCTAAACATCTCTAAACCGTTATGACTGGAAATGAGGACGTGGCGCATCCTGCAGCTCACAGCAGCTTGGCCGTCTGAGCGCTGCCGAGCACTTGCACAACTCCATATCCCCAAGCCCTGTGCCCTAGACCCCGAAACCCCACCAGACCCCCAAACTCTACAACAACTGAACTGCAACACACGGGGGCACTAAGACCAGGACTGTCTTGTTTATGAATTAGAAAAGGGCTTTGGGGCCCATTAAACTATAATTATAAGAAGGCCCCGAAAGCAGTCTTTCTTCGCCAAGGCTCAAGGTCAGAATGACGTCCCTATTGCTGTACGAATTCAAGGGTGAGACCGGGTCGATTGAGCCCACTCTCGTCTTGAGAAGGACAGGCCATCGACCAGAGAGGGAATCAACGGGCTCCAACATCCGCGCCGGGAAAGGGAAGCACAGAGCAACCGGTGTCCCATGCAATGCAAGGCAGTGCGAAGGGCGCAACTCAAAGCTCGAAGGAGGAGGGCAACCCATTCGCAGTGCCGGCGCAGAGCCCGAAGGGGCATAGCCGGCGGATGCAGGAAGGTCAGAACAGAGGCAGGAAGTGACGGAAAGGCATTGCAAAGCCCAGCGCAGGGGTGAGGCCCATCGGCTTTTGCCGCGCGCTTCTCTGCCACCGGCTGATGCGCCGGTATGTCGTGAGCTTCTTGCTGCTCTGGATGCGGCGTCCCCTTCTCCGACCAAGAGATCTACGACGGATTGCACCGATCTCTGATGCTGCAGTTGCGGATGCCGCTCGAGATGTGTTGCTTATCCTTGTGCCAAAGCATAGATGCTCCGATGTAGTGGGCAAGTCTGCGGAACAGCCTGCGGACCCAGGCCCTTTTGTGCCTGCCATCGTGGTTCCGCGTTTCCAGCCTTGTGCTGAGGCCAAGCCGGTCTTGTGGTGCGGACGCCTTTGCTTTCCTTCCCGGCCTGTGAGATCACCTTGGATGCTCTCGCCGATGGGCCTCACCCCTGCGCTGGGCTTTGCAATGCCTTTCCGTCACTTCCTGCCTCTGTTCTGACCTTCCTGCATCCGCCGGCTATGCCCCTTCGGGCTCTGCGCCGGCACTGCGAATGGGTTGCCCTCCTCCTTCGAGCTTTGAGTTGCGCCCTTCGCACTGCCTTGCATTGTTGCATGGGACACCGGTTGCTCTGTGCTTCCCTTTCCCGGCGCGGATGTTGGAGCCCGTTGATTCCCTCTCTGGTCGATGGCCTGTCCTTCTCAAGACGAGAGTGGGCTCAATCGACCCGGTCTCACCCTTGAATTCGTACAGCAATAGGGACGTCATTCTGACCTTGAGCCTTGGCGAAGAAACAGAAGAATTATTAGTAAGTGTTTGTAATTATTAGTAAGTATTTAGGCCCCTACAGTATCAGCTGGGAGCCTTGAGCACCGCGCGTTCACCCTTCTTACGGGTCCATCGGGCTCAAGATTCGACTGCAAGAGCTCAGCCCCAAGCCCTAAACATCCCTAAGCAAGCCCATGTAAACCCGAGATTTGCGGGATTCAGTCTTTCGCTCTTCGGACTTTGGGCTACAAGCTTCTGGCCTATCAGCCTTGGCGTCCTGTAGAGAGTGGGGCTCTGAAGTTTAGTTTTGAGTTCTGGTTGCGGAAGAGTCATGGC